TTACTAATGGTTTCTCATGAAGATCGTTGTATTTTCACAACCACTCACGCATCGGATATGAAGACGGTGAGTTCATGAAAACCGTCTATGTGCTGTAAATCAGTTGAAGATTTACAGATTTTGACCTATTTTTACCTCCGCCAATTTGACATTCCTGCGTATGATGCGTTCGCTCGTGTGGGAAGAACACTTTGTTGGCTCTTCCCACAAGAAATAATTTCAAGCTTCTTCGAATACTGGGAAGTTGCCATTGTTCGTGATCTCCTTAAGACCGATGTGAGTTTTAATGTTACGAGACTTGCTGGTTAAGAGAACTAAAGGAGGGCCAAAAAAGACACTCCGGCCGAGTCACATATCAGCAAAGTTTTCGCAGCCCAGACAGAAGACGAGTACCAGGGCGGAAGATACCCAAGATGTTCCTCGATAAGCAGGAGCAGGCTCTCGCCCATCACCTTCATGTACACCAAATATGAAGCCATCTCCAATCGCAGCCGGACTGGAGAAGGCCTATGGAATTCGCGACAAATTTTTTCCTTTTTTCAATTTTTTCAAATTCGCGACCACAATTCCCGAACGTCGCTACGGTCCAGGATATCATCTTCACCGCAGTCGCCAAGGCGCGGGTTGATGGTATGGACCGGAAGTTCCTGGAATGGGAAGACCGATATTTTCTTCGTGGACCCCGGACTGAAAGTGAACGCTGACTATTACATCGAACTGCTCGAGGAGATGCTGCCTTCATGTCGTCGCCTGTACCATCTTGGAAACTTCGTACTGCTACAGGATTGGGTGCCAGCACATGGAATCGAAGGGCGTTGGAAAACTCTCGCCTACTTGGAATGGAAGGGCGTTGAGTACCTGAAGAAGACGGAATATCAAGTGTGTCACCTGACCTAAACCCCCTCGATTACCGGGTCGGAGCTCAACAGGGTGGTCTACAGTGGCGGAGAAATCAACGACCTCGCTGAACTCAGGCACCGAATCACGGTCGCGTGGCAGAATCTCTCGATGGCGCTCGTCCAGAAGGCTGTGGCGATCGTGTACAATGTGTTGTTGAATTTGATGGTGGAAATGTCCAATCAGAATTCAATAAAGTGTAACTTATAGCGCCTTGAAAGTCGAGGAAGAGAAGCGTCCTTTTTCTACCTTCATCTTTGTTTATTGCCCCCCCCCTACTGTATACATCTATTTACATGCCACATCACCCTAACCAGTTACCATTTTGAACGCTCTGCGGCTGAACGGAAGAGAAGTTATGAACCTACTGCCGAACACACCTACAGACAAACTTAGCGGATTAAACGCAGTGGAATCCTTGTGATAGCTCAACTGTTCAGAAGCGCAACACTTATGCAACACTTCATACGTGTGCACAACACCTCATATCAATCTTCTCAGCTCCGTATGGTGCAATGCCTGTAGCGAAAAGAACTGCTGTCGCCGTAATGGCCGATACCGTGAGGAACTAAACATTTTATCCTATTAACGTTTACTCAGGTTGAAAGGAATTTTTTTGCAGTGGCAAATGGCTGAGGCACTAGGCATGAATGTAGAGGAAGAAATCAAAAAAATGACTGACCTTCCCATGGGACTTATGGAAAAGGTTCTCATAGCATGTTGCTTCGAGGCTTTCTAAATATATTTGTTTTTTTCCATTTTCTTCTTCTACCTTCACCTTGAATTCTGTTCGTTCAGATTTTGTATAGCGTTGAAAAGTTCCGTACTGTCGTCAGTGGAGTTCGCAAAACCAGCATTTAAGAAACGATTCGCACGTTTTGGAACATTAGCCAATCCTATTTTCCCAATAAACCGTTTATTTGATGAACTGTGCGAGAACACTCAAGGGCAAGGTGTACCGGGCGGTGGTAAGGCCTACAATGCTCTACGGCAGTGAGTGCTGGCCCATCTGCAAGAACCATGAAAGGCAGCTCCACTCAGCTGAAATGAGGATGCGCTGATGGGGGTGCGGCAGCCTGCCGCGCTCTAACACCGACTAGACGATAGTCGGAAAACCAGCGACAGTCAGGGCGGGTGCACACAGGACCGGGCTCCGCATCCAGTTTCAAGGCCACGGGCGGAACAGCCACGGCGATGGTATGGGGCATGGCCGTACTGGAGGAGCGCTGAGGGGTGAAGCCACCGCATAAGGAAGGCATTGAACCAAAGTAGAGGACAACGGCGAGCTACCGCGTGGCTCCAAGTAGCGAAGATGGCGAGGGTCATCATCAGGAAGGACCTCGACTGAAGGCTAGCACGGCAAGAAGGATGCAGTGGATCGGAACAAGGTCGCTCGCTCTTACCAAGAAACATGCGCGATTCTGCTACGGCTGGCGCGCGACTCGCGCTAGGGAGAAGAAGCAGAAAAAACCGTCTATTTGATAATGAGAGAAAGTGGTTCAAGCCTTGTTAGTGTTCTGTGTGAATCCCTTTCAACGTACGCGGCGGAAATAGGAGCGGTTCAACCTGCTTCGCAAAGTTATTAGTTCCGCATTGTACGTCCCCGTAACATGGTGGATTTGTACAAAGCACAAAACTGTTGACCTATGGCGCAGAACAACATTTGCAAGATGAATCATGCGTATAGGTTTCTCCCTTTATATCGCATAAACCAACCTATTGACTACAGGAGGGGCCAAAAAAGTCACTTTTCTTCCTTGACTTTCAGGGAGCGCTATAAGTTACACTTATTGAATTCTGATGGACATTTTCACCACCATATTCAACAGCATAATACTATCATGATACTCCGCCACAGCCTTCTGGACGAGCGCCATCGAGAGATTCTGCGACCGTGATTCGGTACCTGAGTTCAGCGAGATCGTTGATTTCTCCGCCACTGTAGACCACCCTGTTGAGCTCCGCCCGAACCGGGTAATTGAGGGGGTTTAGGTCAGGTGACACACTTAGATATTCCGTCTTCTTCAGGTACTCAACGCCCTTCCATTCCAAGTAGGCGAGAGTTTTTCCAACGCCCTTCGATTCCGTGTGGAGGCACCCAATCCTGTAGCAGTACGAAGTTTCCAAGAAGGTACAGGCGATGACATGAAGGCAGGATATTCTCCACGAGTTGGTCGATGTAACCGTCAGCGCTCACCTTCAGTCCGGGGTCCACGAAGAAAATATCGGTCTTCACATTCCAGGAACTTCCGGTCCATACCACCAACTCGCGCCTTGGCGACTGCGGTGAAGATGATATCCTGGACCGTAGCGACGTTGTCGGAGCTGCTCGATGTTGGAGGTCTTCCAGATCAAGAGTGCCGGTCTCCAGGTAGCTGTCCATGGGTGACTCCATACAAGAAGTTTCGCAGCTGTTTGGAGGTGACGTGAATTCCAAGGCCTTCTCCAGTCAGGCTGCGATTGGATGACTTCATATTTTGGTGTACATGAAGGTGATGGCGAGAGCCTGCTCCTGCTTATCGAGGAACATCTTGGGTATCTTCCGCCCTGGTACTCGTATCCACGTCCTCTGTCTGGGCTGCGAAAACTTCGCTGATATGTGACTCGGCCGGAATGACTTTTTTTTGCCCCCCCCCCTGTATACCCACTTCCTTTCACGATTCCTTTGGACCGAGACACGCA